TATAATTTAGTACCACATTCCCCCCTCACGTGAAGTTTACCATGTCAGAAAATCCCTTATGATCTATACCAGTCACACGGAAGATTATGCAGCTCGATTCGTGTGTATTATTATGGTAAAGATGATGCTTTACATACGACATGTTATATATTCGGTAACTAATTAATATTTTACTATAATACGTTATTTTTCCACAGATGCAGTTTTATTCCACATCTATACAGGTGAGTATATACCCCCGTCTTCATAAACAGGGTTATAGAGCGTGGGCAAACATCTCTCTTGGCGGATTATTCTGAGGCCATAAAACAGATTTAGAAATACCAAAGAAATGTCACTGACGTCAAGTCAGAGCGTATCCACATGTTTATAAAACATAATTATGTACAGACGACTCCCGCTCAAATGCAAGAACTCTCGACAACAATTTTCCCCATGAAAATTATTATGCGATGGCGGTGAGTAAATGAAGTAACGCAAAATATCTTCTTCGTGTTTTTTTTTTAAATTTAATTTTGTATTAACGGCGAAGATTTTCGTCAAGGATTTCGTACTGCATGGCGATCTTTCTGTCTGAAGTAAATATAAATGTAGTATTGCTTCGAAGACGGAGAGAACACAATGTCGGAATAACATGTCACGAAAGTCGAAAGAGATTGATTGCGCAATTTTCGTCACAATTTTACATTGTGTGTGCTCTCAAGAAACTCGGTATTTATAACTGAATTTGGTCAACGGTATGCGGTCTAATATTACCTTTGAGACACCACGGATACTTAACAAAACTCTTGTAATTCAATGAGAAATATAATCCTGAAATATTTTTTGAAAAGCCAACATGTAATGTTTGGTATTTCTAAATACTGTATAGTAGAGGGTGTTTTTGGTGTGTATTATTACTTCTGTATTGTTTGGGGAGTGAGTTATAAAGCCATTGCATATAATAATCATGGGCCAAATTTTTTCTTCCAATATCCAAATATTACAAGTGAGCGAGCAACAATTTTGACATCCATCTTGATTATGACATTGTAAGATTTTGTTTTTAAATATAGAGATAATATCAAAATGTTAAACAGACTGCCCGTAAATAAGTTGCGGTTGCCAAATGCTAATATTTTCAAAATTCTCTGGGCTGCAGCCTCAGTGCCCCATCGTATGTCTTTATCCCGGCGCACGCTACACGATCCTCCTGCGATCGATTTTCGTTGAAAGGGCAGTTATATTTAATATGGAAATCTAAACAACCACCTTCCTCCTGATTTAGTTTCTGTGTAATGATAAGAATTTTCAACAACCGGAATATAAGGGAATTCAAGTTTTATCATGAGTCGGAATAAAAGCCGAATCGCCTTCAAATCATAGACAGTCTCGCAGTCGCACTACTGGTCTGACGTTACTACAGTTCTGAGCCAATTTAGCCGCCCCCCTCCCAAGAAACACGAAATCCCTTGAAATTTAGATTTTATTATTCACAGGCCTATACTATATTGAGATCCTCGCTCATTAAGATACTGCTTGTATGAATAAAATGCTATCACAAATCCTTCTAAACTCGGATTGTTGTCAGACCGTGCAGTGTAATCTAAATATTTTATTCTAACAAAAAAGGTCGAATAACTTCAACCCTCATGAGACGTAATTTCACCATCTTATACGCATATAATATCATTTACCTTTCAGCTGCGTTTTAGAGAACGCGATTTAGTCGGTAACGTTACCATGGAAACGAGTCCACGACTTTACGAGATTACGTGGGCTTCAGCAGCATGAGGCCTAGAGGATTCCAGTGCACTTTCTCGCTACGTAAGTAGTTAGGGGGACGTTTCACGAACAAGCAATATTTTGCGGCGCATCCTTTGAAATATTACATTGCCCTTTATCAATCTTATTCAGACGTAATTCACGACCTATCCAATAAATGATCTTTGTAGTCCATCATCGCTGATCATCTGTGATAGCTACGCTACTGGTTTGTAGTTAGTATTGCTATTGTTGATGCTGATGTTGTTGTCGTCGTCGCCGTCGTCGTGGGACGTCTCCGTCAAGCTTTGAATTAAAGCTTTTGAATTGAATTGAAACTCACATCTTTTTACTTCCATTCAAATTATGGTAAACATTTAACTAATAGGGCAGCACAGTTAATAAATTCAGAAAACTGATCATCTGTGATAGCTACGCTACTGGTTCGTAGTTATTGTTTAGTTGTTGTTGATGTTGTTCTTGTTGTTGTTGTTGTCGTCGTCGTCTTGGGACGTCTCCGTCCAGCTTTGAACTAAACTTTTTGAATTGAACTGAAATTTACATCTTTTTACTTCCATTTACATAATGGTAAACATTAAATTAATAGGACAGCACAGTTAATAAATTCAAAAAAGCAGGAGGCAAAAACCCCGTAAAGCAATCAAATGATTGTGTTTGGAATGCCCATTTATACATATAAGGACTCGATTATGTCAAAACTGGAACAAAGACTCACTTAGTGAGAACCCTGCTCTGGGCATTACAAGGATAAATCAAAATAGAATTGCATGTTAATAAGTACTACTGTCTATATCGTTTTAAGCCTTCTATTCTAAGAGGTGTTTACGATGATACCATCTAAGATTAAAGATAATATGATCGAAATGATTAATATATTTAAGTATGATGATGCATGATTCCTTGTTATTATGAATAAATCATATTAAATCGACGATGAAAACAATTGATTGTAAATGTTACCTATTTGCACGCACGTCTTTAATATTAACATAAATTTGAAACATACGCATCCCTATACACCAGCACATCAGAGATCGCAGCCATACATGGGGCTATAAATAATGATGATAAAACTAAACATTTGAAAATACCGAGTAAACACTCAACTGTGACTAAGGTTACTGACCCGAAATATCACCTTACGGGATTAATGCTACTCTCGGATATGGTTCAAGATACTTCAACGAGAAAATGGATATAGTCATGCATGGTAAACAAATCAAAACAATATTCCGCTGAAATATCGCGGTATATTCGAAGGAATCAGTGAAATATAGCTATGATACTATGGAGGACAAAAAAATAAGAAGCTGGACGAAAACAATGGCGTCGTCCATGGTCACTACAGATTAGCATAATTTATTATTCCGATCTCTGCGCTCTGCAAGTGAGCTCTCTGTCTCTCTCCCTCTCTTACGATGTAAGTCTCGACGGTGCTGCTAGTAGTGTGCACGAGGTCACTGTGTACTGTGCGTTACGCTGGCTGTGCTAGCTCTTATAGTTTGCGGCCTCTACACGTACGGATTATGACACACTCATTCACGCCGTGCCCCGAGCTAAAATGCTCAACAATTAATTCTTGCACACTTTGGGGTATCAAATGTCGCTCTTTCTAGAATAGCTGCTGCAAGATATATGTCATACATCGTTTTGTCCTCTGATAATTCATAAACAAAATCTTCTAAACTCTTTTAAAAGCCATTAAAGTGTGCCTGGATTGAATTGTTGGGTTTTTGTTCACGCAGGAAGACGAAGGCTATTCCTGATAAGGTGTGCATTGTTCGCACATCTTTGTATGTGTTGCGGTATGTGATTAGCACGATTTTAATCGTGTAAAAAATAACCCAGCGCACAGTCATGAGATTATTCGCTCTGCCCGATAAAATGCGCCCTTGGAGCCGGACTCGTATTATGCCAAAGAGAAAAGGAAATAGGGAGGGGAGATTGAGAGAGACAGATATAGAGAGAGATAAAAAGAGAGAGAGAGAGAGAGAGAAGTACATGGGGTGAACCAATTGGATCACAATATAGGTCAAATGATTGCAAAAACGCACGGTTAACTGAAAACTTTCAGTTTTGCAACAGGTTTATACATCACTTTAGTTGCATTATCATGTTGCAAAGGTCGAATCAGGCACTCAAACTAGTATTACGACACGGATGCAAAAGGACTATTGAGCCTTTTTTTAGGCCATTTTGAGAATTAATAATATGCCTAGATTGCCTACTCATTCGTAAACCTTGTTGTAAGCGGATATATTGTGACTGTTGTCTCGGGTGTTCATTAGATTTTGCGCGAGGATAATTAAATGGGGATGGCTTTATTTTTCATTTGCATCAATCTATTATGTTTATCACCCACTACATGGGATATTTTCTAGTAAATCGCAATTAGAGAACATAAAGTATAGGACTATTAAGCCTACATGTTATTAGGAAACTAAGGTATTCTGATTAAGAGTTGTTTTTCTCTCCAGAAAAAACAACCATTGTGGCATTGATATCAGCAAAGTTTTGCTGCAAAAACGTTATTCATCTTCCTTATTTCCCTGACCTAACCTATAATCACGATGTTTGCAAATTAAGAGTATTACAAATATAATGGTCCAATATCAATATACAGAGGCATACGCTGCCTCATCTCTTCGAAACATTATGTTGTTTTAAGATCCATACGACAAAAAAAACAAAACAAACAAAATACAAATTATGGTGAAGAGAGTTGAGAAGGATACTCATATAGATATTTTTATAATTGGGCCTATATATTCTATCTGTAATATAAGTAAAATCCGACCAAATTTGAAATTAAATGTATACAGGCTATATACGAAACGCATTAAAACAAATAAACAAAAACGGGGAAGTTTGGGGGAATTTTCCCACAGGTAATGTCGGAATAACTTTATATTAACCGACCACCAATGGTAACCTGACTTAATAAACCTTTACCATTGTATGTAATCATATATTTGTTTGATACACTTCTGTAAAAACCCAATTACACGCACCTTAATCAGGTCAATGATGGAAAACAACTTTGCTGATCATGTTTTTTTGATATCCTGTATAAATATGTCTAAATAAATACAAGTAAAATAGCAAAACTTGCAATTTTCATTGTAAATAAGGGAAGGGCGTTTCACAAGTGATGTAATACTGTACATTCAATCAAAAAAGAAAAACAGAACAACAAAGCAAGTAAGAGAACTCATGCATTTGCCTGATATACTTACATTCTGGATACACTTAGTCTTGGATAGAGCGACAGTGTTGAGAATGCACTAAGTGAAGAGATCGTGTTCGGTATTACACATTCCACAACTGACATGGACGACGCCGGACCTGAGAATCGGTCCCCATTTTCAGGAATCGGAGAACAGGAACAATAATTGGGACAAACGGCCTCCCCAGAAACACAGATAACCTGCAGGACCAAACTGGCGAAGACAAGCCAAGCTATCCAATGTGGCGACACAGCGGCATACATTGTTAATGCTTTCGTATGAAATGCTAAAAAACACAATCCTGTATAGAGAAAGTAGTGATGCTCAAACAACGTGATTAAGGCATCCAACACTCCAGCTTTTAAGAGAGAAAAATACGACGCTTTCTGTTTTCACCTCGGCAAACTACATTCCATTTTTTGAAACGATGAGATTAATGTCCTTTCCATTTTGCGGTATGTTTATGCAAGCATTAGCGCTTTTGCAGCAGTGATGAGGGCATCTTTTAGAATCTGTCCACAGGTTAGAGGCTCGAGTATCGCGTCCATAGATTCCTCCTCACATCTTAGAAGCTGCGATGCACTCTTTCTACTACTACTACTACGCTTTATGTGTCTGTTGAGCGCATGTGTAGAGCGAAATGATAAGTATGCGAGCAGAAGTGATATATTCCACGGGCTCACTCCCTGAATGCTAACACACAGCCGTGTATGGCAGAGAGCTAGGCGAAGTGGCGGCCTTGAATTGCCCGCAAATTGTGTACAATTTATATCAGCTTGTACAAGTCGGCGGGCTATAGGCATGGCCAAATTCGTTTCAAGGAAAATGACCTAATAAATGGGGACTGAGGCTAAATATCTTGACAATTCCACAGCTACGAGTTTGGAGGAGCTGAATGTTTAGCCCATTGCTGCATCCAACTAGATTAACGACTCTTCTGAACTTGGCGGTTGGCAGGGGTTGGCGACATTGATTTTTTAGCAATTTTTTTTTTGCATTTAAAGGAATGCGGTTCCTTTTTAAAAGCGGGAAAGTCATGACCAAAACGTAAATTAGGTTAGTGAAAGAAGAGAGAGAGAGAGAGAAGAGACAGGGATAGAGCGAGAGAGAGAGAGAGAGAGAGAGAGAGAGAGAGAGAGAGAGATAGAAAGAAAAAAGAGAGAGAGAGACTAGGAAGAGAGAGGGTGAAAAAGATTTTTACCATAAAATGCACAATTCTTGTTTTCATATTGTTGACATATAATGTGCTTCTTTTTCTTGTTCTTCTTCTTCTTCCTCCTCCTCCTCTTCTTCTTCTTCTTCTTCTTCTTCTTCTTCTTCTTCTTCTTCTTCTTCTTCTTCTTCTTCTTCGTCTTCTTCCTCTTCTTCTTCTCCTTCATGTATTGTCCTGCAGACAATATTATACTTGGTCTCGTTTACTTTTCTCTTGCTCAATGCTATTTTTACCAACACAATTATTTATTGTTTAAATCATAACACAGACGTTTACTTTTCCAAAATGTTTATAGAAATTCGACCTAAAAGATCATTTATCTGATTTAACAATCAGATATCCAGCTAAAAACACTTATCACTATTCTGTCACCTGTTTTTTAATATGTTGTGTTCACTGTTGTATGTGAACTGGTTCGTTTTATTTTAACAAATCGGTAATGAGTTTAGATAATTTCCTCTTCTTTTCTTTTGGTGTACATACATTTGTTTTCTCTTTACCTCTTACAGGTGTTTATTCAATACTTAAACAATAACATAATTTTGCTTACAATTTAGCAAAACTATGGAACATCGATAATACACAAATTATTTGTTCAAATATAACTAAGCAAATTCGCAGGAAATTTCATATTTTGTACTTTCAAATGTTCGTTTATTTTTATTCTGTTAGTCATTTCTCTCTTAAATAAATAAATAAAATACAAATCTTTATTATCATACCCATACTTATTACGAAACTTAATCATTTTATAAATAGACCAAAAAGCAGTCGTCATTATCGAATCGATTTCGGTTTGCGAATTCATTTTGAGTAATAAAACAATATCTATCTCTATTTTGAGATTGAAAGCATGTAAAACGAAGTCCTTTAAATATTCGTTTGCCTTACATGAAATAAAAGCATGAAGAACATCTTCAGTCTCTTTGCATTTTAAATAAAGGTCATCGTATAAAATATCCCACTTGAACAGATTTTTACGAACTGGTAGCATATTATAAAAAAGCTTGAAATTAAATTCACGTAGACGAAATTCTTTAATCCCAATCAAATTCCTATTAAAAACAGAGGGTCATTTAACGTCCTTCTGCAAGACATTTTCCCAATACAAAATTGCTGGATACCTTCACTGCTTTATTCATCACTGCCGTATCTGCTGTACTGTAACTCTGTATTGTAACACAAGTGATATGAAAGAGGGGAAATAAACAACATTTATGTATCTTAATTTGTTTAAAACTTATCATATTATACCACTGTTTACTACTCAAAAGACTAATAGGCTTAACTGATTTTCCAAATACAATGTGGGGGATAAAGAAATTATGATCTTTGAATCCCAATGGTACCCTAGCCTATCATTTATCCAAATTTTTTGAATTTATTTTTGTAGCTTTGTATAGTCGAAAATCAAAAATTGTTTACCTCGTCTATTTTTAAGCGGATAAAAAATTCATTTACTGAAACAAAAGAACCATTTTTAAAGATATCCTTTAAGTATATAATACCACTTTTTTTACCAGTCTTCATAAAATAATATTTTCTGTTCAAATACAATATCTTGATTATACCATAAAATATTTTCGTCAATATGTTTCTGTGCCTGACATTCAACTGATGTGTATTTTTTATGTAAAAATGTGGTGTACATACATGATTGTATACAACACCAATGTATTTTATCTCAAAGCTAACGCGTCACTGGCCTTGTGCGAGCCAAAGTAAAGATATTAAAAGGATCTATAGGCCTATGGTGTCGGAAAGAGCTTAAAGAAGATTCATTGATTCATTCAAGTAAACATTAATTTTCCAATTTTGTCGCACGTTCGAATATATAAATTGTGAAATAATCTACAGGTGGTAACTTTTCTAAGAAACAAACGCTTGTGGCGTGAATGCCGTTAAAAGAAGAAAAATTAAAAACAAAATCATGTCAATACATTTTTACATAATAATTATATATAGGCAAAAGCGATGTATGTGGTGAAAAAATCTAAGGACAAACGAATATACCCAAACAAAGGACAGACGACACAAACCAAGAAAAAGAGACGAAAAGATTAAGCAACCCACGTAACACATGAAAAACAAACCTCTAAATAAAAATTGTCCGCCAGTTGGAAGTCGCTGTCCTCGCATTTCTAAGAAACCAAGGCCAGTCCTTAAAAACAAGAGTATTAATTTTCTGTCTGATTGGAACATCATGACTGAATAATGACTTGGTTATTCTACTTTGGCTGGGTCATGAAATTCAATATCGATACACATTTATGTGAAATATAGGCAAAGTAATCCTCCGAGACGGGTGGGATCAATCAGAGAGGCTCTCATCGCAAAATTAATGTGAAGATAATTAAATTGAAAATGATACACCATCCTAAGCAAAGTTACTTGCAGGCAGTAGTTTCATTATAGTAATCACTGTTATTATCAGCGTCGTCATTATTATTATTATTAATATTATTGTTATTATCATTATCAATATCAGTGTCATATATCATCATCATTTTCAACACCATCATTATCAACAACATCATCGTCGTCACCATCATTTTATCCTCTTTCCCCCTTTTCTGATAATATTAATGATAATAATGATGATCATAATGATGATGATGACGATTCTGTTGATAATAATGATGAAAACGACGATGATTTTGATGATGGTGATGATGATGATGATGACGATTTTGTTGATAATGATGACGACGACGACGACGACGACGACGATGTTTATGATGATGGTGATGATGATGATGATGATGGTGATGATGATGATGATGATGGTGATGATGATGCATGTTGATGCTTTTGAAAAGCGCTATATAAGAACGAGCTATTATTATTATTATTATTATTATTAATGTTGAATGCGACTTTTTTTTCTTCATAATAGGGATTTTGAAATGATTAATCATACGAATTTGTTAGCATTTACTTTCCCTAGATTAAAACTCGACTTCTTTACACAATGAAATGTGCCTTCTTATATTATTAATAAGTTAAGCTTTAAAGGGATCGTTTAACAATGTTAAATCTGAGATACACGGCCCTACTTGTTATCAGTAACTGTGATATGGTGTAATATTGACGCCCTAAAAAAACTGCGCTTCAAAATGATCAAGAAGTGCCCCGGGGAAGTGCCTCGAAAAAGTAAAAAATCTTTGAGTGACCGGTTTTACCATACTCGTTTTACCCCTTAGACTGTAGTGTTATGAAAACCGTTTGGCAAACGGTTTTCAAAATTTGTAATTCCAATCATAAATATCTTGATAATCAGACAGGCGATCGGTTTGTAAAAGTCATGGGGCTCCTGACTGACCTAAAGGTTTATAATTATCTAGAATTTTGTTTCAGAATCTGAGACAAAGTTACCGGATCCCTTTAATACCATAGAGATGGTAATAATAACTTTTGATAGTCTCGTTATAATACTTAATTGACAACACTTAAATAAATGCCATACATCATACATTATTTTTAGCCTTTTATATCCCTCTCTCACTCTCCCAGGTATATCGTCTCAACTTAACTTACGCGTTGTGGGTTTTTGTGGATAGAAACTGAGAGACTGACATGGGGAAATGTGACATTTAAAAAAGAGGCCAGACCGCCAATATTTCGATGCTAAGATGATGTTATTATCAAGACACAGGTCCTGGTGTACGATCTTATATTGATCTGAGATATATATGTCCTCCTAAATATAGGAAATACTACAAGCTCAGCTTCGTAAATGAGTAAAATAACATTCATTTACGTTATGAGATCTATCCTTCATATTCGACATCTGTTCAAGTAATGATCTTTTAAAAATAATGATCTTTCGTCCTCGTATCGAATATCAGGAGAAAAAAAAGATATATAAACTTTATACTAAGGCCACTCAAAGGAAATGAGACCAAAAAAATGCCACTGTAAACAGGTGATCTGTCAAAACAGATTCTAAAACACACATTTCTCTCTCTCAAAGGTGACAAAATGCATGAAAACTATACTCAGATCGCCGCTAGAGAGGTGGCCACTATCACAGGTTTGATTGTATCTGACAAAAGGCCAACCTAAATATGTCAAAGTATCTGTTACACTGCTGTATGGTGATTATGTTTTATTTAATTGTTTGTTTTTCATGTTGATATATTGGCACAATATTGTGCCAATATATCAAACCTCATTATAGTGTTGAGAATATAATTATTATGCAAAACTCTCGTCAACAAACTTTGGTATTATTTCACGTCTTAGCGATGATTTGGGAATATTTACCTTAAACAAGAAAAGGGAGTTATTCTGATCGAGATGCAAAGTGGAAGGTGTTCAACCTAAATAAATTTGAAAGCAAAGAGTTTGATGGCAATTGCAGCGAATAAAAATGAAAAGATTTTGTTTTGTAATTGAAAAATTGATAACTGACCAGAAAAAGTCCTTGATTAAACATTTCAAATTAAATTCATAAATAAAATGTGACGGAAATTAAGCAAACGTACTATTGAAATACTGATTCGCTTATTGATTAA